TTTTTTTTTTTTTTTGATTCCAAGACAAAAAGACATACTGCACAAAAGTACGCAATAAATGTGATATACGTAATTTCTCATTGCCAAACGTTTATCAAAATTTATCAAAACTGTTATTTTTTTTTGTAGAGCTAGTTAAAAATGTAAATGATGATATTACCGCGTACCAAATTGATAATACATACTATGTATTGATGCGGATTTTTCAAATGACCAATCTGGCTATATATGACATATAACGGAAATAATAAAAACACTTCACAAGGTACATCAATTTGTATTTACAAATGTTTTGTCAAAACGGTAAAAACAATCAACGCCAATACGACATTTATTAAAGCAATTAAAAAAAAAAAAATGTAATCGTTAAACGATACCAAATATAAATGCAACATATTGTTACTTTTACAAAAAAAAAAAATTAAATGGCATCAAATTGATGTGATTTTTTTTCGGAATGTCGAGCGTGTTAATATATCCATAACAGAATGTAAAAAAAAGAAAAATAATTGACAAATAACACACAAGAAATAGTTCGATAATAATAATTTACTTTTGTAAAAAAAAAAAAAGAAAATATATACATTTACATAAGAAAACAAATTAATATCGTGTGTTTTTGTTTATATGTGTGTACGCATGCTTCCTGATATTCGAAAAAGTATATTTTTTTTTTATAACGATATATATGTATACACATAAATACATATGTATTTGTGTGAGAAAAAAAAAAGAGAATTTCCTAAAGATGACAATTTGACGCAAAAAAAAAAGGACGCAAAAAATAAACATAATTTTTTGGAGAAAAAACGGTGCTTGCTATTAAGTTTTGATATTCTTATATCACGCGAGTCGAATTTATCGTATTTGCGATTTACTCAAAGGTCGGCAGATATTAATATATATGTATATGTGTATATACATATACATATATACATATATATATATATATATATACGCATGTGTGTATTTGTCTAACAGTTTGTTCAATTATTCTTGCGATTTCCCTTTCTTTTGTCACAACGACAAAGAACAATTATATTATTGGTAAAGTAATTAAAATTCTAGAATATTAGAGTTTTGTTTATAAGATTATAAGTGATAAAAAAAAAAAACAAGATTTGCATTATCAATTTTATGCTGTGAAATCAATAATAAATCATAAACCCTTATGCATGAAGTTTTTACGTCAATATCGTTTTTATTATTTTTTAAATGTCGAGTTCGTGGAAGTATATAGTAGTTATTCATATTTTTTTACTATATAAGTTTATAACTATTTAACATAAATGTTTTTTTTGCGGGATTGTGGTTGAGGCATTTTTTTTTTCTTTTTTTTTTTTCACCCGCTACAACGCATACATCAAAGGACGTAAAAAGTAAAGGAGCTTATTAATTGAATAATCCTTTTTTTTTTTTTTCATAATTTTAGTTTCTGACACATAGAGCCAGCAATTATTTACAAGTATTTCTAAAGTATGTTTTTTTTTTGTTTTTTTTTTGTTTTTGTTTTTTGTTTTTTTCTTGGAGCAATAGTGGCAGTTCGCTAGCTGCAGTCTGTTTAATATTTTTATTGTATAAAAACTGTAAATTTGTTTTTATTGAGCGCAACTGTTGCACAATAGCGAGATCATTGCACTATAAATTGTCAACTGCACTAGTTTCGACACATTAGACGATACGTTCGGTCAGCTCTCTTATTGACAAGATAAAATTGTATACACTTTTTGCCCGGACTTCTCGATACTTATTGTAAAGTGTATCGTATAATTATCGATTATTACAGCGATTCGCGCGCGGTCGTAATTCTTCTCTTCACTTTATCTATTATCTTTACTTTGCATCCTCGTCACACCTCATATAGCACCTTTTTATACATTTGTCGATTTTTTCTTTTGCTGCTTCCACGTGGATATTCTTTCTTTTAGGTCGAGCACTGTAACAACATCAAAAACAGCGATAATATAAACTTTTTTGTATTTTCAAAATAAAAAAACACTACAATACAGGGTGATTCAGAACACAACCCGTTATCCTTGAAAATACATATTCTTGACTAAATTCTACGACAACTTTTTATCTGGCAAAATTTTGTCTGAAGCTTACTTTTTGAGTTATTAATCAAAATAATTGACTTATCACAAGTCGGATGCAAGAGGTAGGCAGGGACGGCGCAACTCACCGTCAGAGACGCGGGCGATTACGTGCGGTGCCTGACGCGATCAGCCGATGATCGCTACGCATTGTTTCTGTATCTTTTTCTGTCTCTCTCTCTCTCTCTCTTTTTTTCTCTTATTTATTTATTTATTCATTCGCAATTTGTATCATTTAATCCGTGCATCACATAAATCACTGTCAATCACGGTGTGAGTTGCGCCGCCCCTGCCTAACTCTTGGATCCGACTTGTGGTACGTCAACTATTTTTATTAGCAACTCAAAAAGTAAGCTTCAGAGAAAATTTTGCCAGATAAAAAGTTGTCTTAGAATTTAGTCAAGAATATGTATTTTCAAAGATATAACGGGTTGTTCTGAATCACCCTGTATATATGTGTTTGATTTATACTCCGTGAAATTGTTAAAAAATATATAAATGCAGAAGGGCCGATACGGAGTCAGATACTAGGTGTTGATTGTTTCCCATCAGTTGTGTAGTTTATGTTTCTTGTGTACTATCTCTAACTTGAGACATGGAAAGAGGACATTTTTGGTTTTCGAAACAAACTGTGACGAATATCAACTAATTATTTGATATCTCTTCCTTATTGCAAGGTGATGTACTGCCTATCTTTTTCTTAACCCTCGGAGAACACACTGGGTCAATTTGACCCTGTTCGTCGACTTTGATCAAAATATTTTGCTTCAATTTTGCTTTTTTGTAACATATTTTTTACAATGTTAATAATGTTAACGACACTTTGAAACTAAATAATATTTTAGGGCTCGTGAAAGTTTGAAGGAATAATATAAGGCCGATACGAGCCAATCCCAGGATATTGAGCGGGAACTTGAGCGTGCATACATATATGTATACATCTATAACAAGTAATA